ATCAAAAAGAGCTGCTATAAATATTTTTGTACAGATAGGCTTTTCCCCCTTTTTTTCTTTGATTTCTTTGGGGAACAGACCTAGCAGTGATATTTCTGGGTCAAAGGGTATGCACAGTTTTATAAACTTTTAGGCATAGTTCCAAATTGCTCTCCAGAATGGCTGGAACAATTCACAATACCACCAATAGTGCATTGGGTGGCTCAGAGAAGAGAGTGCTGGGCCTGGAGTCAGGAAGATCTATACTTACTAATTGTGACCCTGGGCAAGTCACTTCACTTTTGTTTGTCCTTATCCACCACATAAGGAAATGGCAAACCAATCTAATATTTCTTCCAGAAAAACCCCATGGACAATATGGTCTAAGGAGTCATGAAGAGTCAGACACAATTAAAAGACTGAACAACAACAACCTTCAACAGTTGTTATTTCTTTTTCCTATTAGGTTAGCCAATCTGATAGGTATGAGGTGGTACCTCAGTGTTGTTTTAATTTGTATTTATCTAATTAATTGTGATTTAGAGCATTTTTTCATGACTATAATTAGCTTTGATTTCTTCTTCTAAAAACTACCTACTCATTTCTTTTGACAATTTATCAATTGCGGAATGACTCTTATTTTTATAATTTTTAAATAATTTTTATAATTTTGACTCATTAGAGAAATGAGTCCTTTATCAGAGAAACTTGATGTAAACCCTTCTCCCCTCCTCCCCCAGTTTCCTGCTTTCATTCTGATCTTGGGTAGATTCATCTTGTTTGTTCAAACAAACTTTTTAATTTAATGTAATCAAAATTATCCATTTTATATCTGGTGATCTTCTCTATCTCTTGTTTGGGCATGAAGTCTTCTCTCATTCATAGATCTGACAGGTAAAATTTTCCATGCTCCCCTAATTTGCTTATATAACCCATTATGTCTAAATCATATGACCATTTTGACCTTATCTTGATATGTGGTGTGAGATGTTTGTCTATACCTAGTTTCTGCCAAAGTACTTTCCAGTTTTCCCAGCAATTTTTGTCAGATAGTGAGTTCTTGACCCCAAAACCTGAATCTTTGGGTTTATCAAACACTAGGTTATTATGGTCAGTAGATTACTATATGAATTGTGTACCTAATTTATCCTACTGATCCACCACTCCATTTCTTAGCCCGTACTGGACTGTTTTGATGATTACCACTTGTACTACAGTTTTCAAACATGGTACAGCCACGCTGCCTCCCTTCACATTTTTTTTCATTAATTCCCTAGATATTTTTGACCTTTTGTTCTTCCAAATGAATTTTGTTATTATTTTTTTCTAGCTTTATAAAATAATTCTTTGGTAGTTTGATATGACACTGAATAAATAAATTAAGTAGAATTGTCATTTTTATCCTATTGGCTTGACCTACCCATGAACAATTACTATTTCTCCAGTTGTTTAGATCTGTCTTTATTTTGTGAAAAGTGTTTTGTAATTGTATTTTTATAGTTCCTGTGTTTGTCTTGACAACATTAACTTTCTTTTTCTACCTCTTCTTGTCGGATTTTGTTGATGATATATGGAAATGTTGATAATTTATATGGGTTTATTTTATATCCTGCAACTTTGCCAAAGTTGTTAATTGTTTCAAGCACTTTTTAGTTGATTCTCTAGGATTCTTTAAGTATACCTTCATATCGTCTCCAAAGAATGATAATTTTGTTTCCTGATCACCTACTCTTATTCCTTTAATTTCTTTTTCTTGTCTTATAGTTATAGTTAGCATTTCTAGTATAGTATTGAATACTAGTGGTGATAATGGACATCCTGATGTTATTGGGAAGCTTCTAGTTTATCCCCATTACAGATAATGCTTATTTTTGGTTTTAAATACCTTTTTTTTTTTTTTAAGGAAAGTTCCATTGATTCCTATGATTTCTAGTGTTGTGGTTTTGTTTTTTTTTACAGCTGCTTTTAGTGGTCTTTATACACAAGAAAAATGAATGTTTTGCATTTCATTTTTGTCCTTTTTTGAAAGTTTTAAAATTATTTTTAAAGCTCCCCCTCCCCCAAAAGTGCATTTTAATCCATTTCTTTTTTTCCCACACATTATAAACACTCAGATACAGTCCATGGAATGTCTTCTCTGTGCTTGAATCGGCTGGCTGGGAACCCCACCAGGGTCAGGGCTCTGAACTCCATTGACCACCTTGCCAGGCCCCCTTCCTCCACTGTCAAGAGGAAGGAAGTGGCTGGAAGCTTTTTTGTGCCTCTCTCCCCTCCACACAGCCACTCCCCCACATGCCCCAATAAAGTTTAAATCTGTATATATAGAGAGAGCTAGACTTGGCTGTGGGGACTCAGTGGTCCTGCAGACACTATGCTCTTCCAGACTTAAGCTGAACTCAGCTGCAGGCTTCCTCTGCTTAAATAACTCTTTAAAATAAATCGCAAATATAATTATCTTTCTTTAAAAATAGTTTCATATTCTCCAATCTGGCTGCCTGAACAATCTTAACTCCAAGCTGGGTTTTGTTTTTTTTTTTAAGGCAATTGGTGACTTGCCCAGGGTCACAAAGCTAGTAAGCATCTGAGGTCAAATTTGAACTCAGGTCCTCCTGACTCCAAGGCTGGTGCTCTATTCACTGCACCATCTAGCTGCCCAATTTCTTGTGTTTTTTAATAGGAATGAGTGTTGTATTTTGTCAAAAGTTTTTTCTGCATCTATTGAGATAACCATGATTTTTGTTGTTTTTGTTATTGATATGGTCAGTTATGCTGATAGTTTTCCTAATACTGAACCAGCTCGGCACATGCTTGACATTAAGTGCTCAATAAATACTTATTGATTGTTGATTGACTAATTAGTGATTTAGAATTGAAGCCCCCAGAGAGGCTAGGGCTGAATATATGCATCTGCATAGACATAATTGAACCCTGGGGAACTGATGAGATTAGAAAGAAAAAGAGTGTGGATAAGGAGAGGAGAGGGCCCAGAGAGAGCTTTGAAGAACACCTATTGTTATGGAGCAGAACAAGGACAAAGAGGTCATCAGCTGAGAGAGAGGGGATTGAGTTTGGTGTGGGAGGTTTGAGGAGGTATGATAAGCTCTGGAATAGCCTGCAGTGTGGAGCACGATAAAGATAGCTAGCTAGCTAGATCATTTAGTCAGTACTTACTATGAACCAGACAGTGTCAAGCCTGGGAGGATACACGTACAAACCAGCAAGACAATCTTAGACCTCAAGGTGGCAGCTAAGCGGCCCAGTGGTTACAGGACTGGACTTGGGAGTTAGGAAGATCTGAATTTGAATGTGACTTCAGACAGACCTTTTAATAGCTGAACGATCCTGGGTTAGTCATTTGACAGTTCTCAGCCTCAGTTTCCTCATCTGTAAGATAATAACAGCACCTACCTTACAGAATTGTTGTGAAGATCACATGAGACAATATTAATGGGGAAAGAAAACACAGGAAAGGGAGCAAGAAGGGGGAGGGGGAGGATAGCGTGTTGAAGGCGGTGGAGACATCCAGGAAGTAGCATGAGGCTTGATAAGGGAAGGCTCACCTAGCAGAGCCCGGTGGCTGGGGACAGAGTCCAAGGTTCTGGGAGAATAATAAAGGCAGGCAGCATGGCGTGAAGATGGCTGGGAAGTCATTTAGGGAAGAGAAGAGAAATGAGCTTCTCAAGGGGACTTTTTTTTTTTGGTGGCCTTTCTTTATATCTCCAGCCCTTTAGCATAATTCCTGGCACATAGTTGGTATCTAATGACTTGACTTAAAACAAAAACAAACCAAACCCCAAACCAAAACGCCTCCTGGCCCAGGTGAGATTAGAGAACCGAGAAGAGGCAGCTCTGGCCAACTCTGCCTTTTGTCATTTTGCGTGATTTTGACAATGTCAGTTTCACTCTCTGCGCCTCTGCTTCCTGGTGTATAAAACGAGAGACTTGGCTAAGCTGACCCTTGGGGAGTCCCAAAGTCCATCTGTGTCCAGCAGAAGCCTAGAGGAGGGCTGGATTCAAGCTGGGAGCAAGAGGGAGCACCCCCTCCGGCATCCCGGGTCTATACGACCAGGAAGGCAGAAGAGATGGCCCTCTGTGCTCCCGTCCATCCCCAAATTCACCAAGTATCCAATCATCGCTAAGCCTAGGACGCTTCGCCCCATCTGAGCCCCGATCCGGGCGAAAGCCAGAGCCTGCGAAGGGCAGTCCTGTGAACCGAGGAGCGGGAGCAGTTTGCAGGGGGTCGCGCCTCTGACTGCAGAGACCGTGGGAGCTGCTGAAGGCTTTGGAGCAGGCACGTGGGGGGTCCAGATCTGTGTCCTGGGGAAGATGGAGCGGAGCCGAAAGAGACTTGGAGGCAGACTGATTCCTCACTCCTCCTGTGATCTTGGACGAGCCCCTTCCCCATTGCTCCCGACCCCCGTCTGAGTCTTAGTTTTTCCTTTGGTGACCTGAGGAAGTTGCGTTAGGCACCCTGAATTTCCCTTCCAGCCCCAGCCTGTCCAAGTGGAAGGACACAGGTTACGGCCTGGGGGAAGGTTCTTGCATTTGCCTTCAGCTCAAGGTCACGCCGGAAGCCCCTCCCCTAGAAGTCTCTAGCCCCGAGCGTGTCTTCACCGGCCCGCCCCAGGCGCCCTTCCGAGGCAGCGCATGTCCCTTTAAGGCGTTCGGCAGCCGGGCGTGCGCGAGGCATTTTGTCCTCGGCCGGCCACCGTGCGCAGGGGCGGTGTGGGGGCGGGGCCGAGGCCGGGGCGGGGAGCGGCGGCGGCGGGGTCAAGGGTGACGCCGCGCACCACGTGGGCCGCTGCCTGACTCCGTCCTTCCCCGCAGGAGTCGCCGCGGCGCCAGGGCGCTCGGCTTGGGTTACAGGCGCGGCCCGAGCGAGCGCGGACGGTCCAGCGGAGCCCCAGCCGAGCCCGAGCGCGAGCCCCAGCACCGGCCCGCCATGGTCATCAAGACGGACGAGCTGCCGCCCGCCGCCCCCGCCGAGGGCCCCCGGGAGCCCGGCCCGCAGGGCGGCGGGAAGGCCCGACCGGGCCCGGCCGGTGAGCGGGGAGGGAGCGCGGGGCGGGGCCGGCAGGGCTCTCCCCCGACACCCCCTCCGAGACCCCCCGGGTCCGACCTGGGACTCTTCTCACCAGCCTTTCCCCTGAGCCTCGGTCTGAGACACCCCTAGACTTGAGCCTTTCCTGTCTTCCTCTCGACCTTGGAACCCTCTCCCGGTCTTTCCCTGAGGACGCCCCCAGGCTTCACTCCCCCGTCTCCTTCCGTCTTTGGACCCCCTCTCTGCCTTTCCCTGACCCCCCCATCTGAGCCCCTCCCCCCCCGGCTTCAGCCTCTCTGTCTCTTTCCGTCTTTGGATCCCCTCTCTGCTTTTCCCTGACACGCCAATCTGAGGCTCCCCCAGGCTTCAGCCCCCCTGTCTCCCCCCGACCTTGGACCCCCTCTCTGCCTTTCCCTGACACACCGATCTGAGACCCCCCCCACTTCAGCCTCACCGTCTCCCACCACCACCACCTTAGATCTCTCTCCCCTGCCTTTCCCCACCCCAATATGAGACCCTTCCCCCACTTGAGCATCCCGTTTCCCAACCTTATGTCCCTCCCCCACATTCCTGGCCTTTCCCTGGTTACCCCCAGACCTCCCCGGCCCTAATATTTCTGCGCCTTCTCTTGTCTCCCCCTATTTGCCCATGGACCCTAATCCTCCCAGGCCTCCTCCCCCCTCGGCATCCTTGCACTTGCTCTCAGACCCATGTTGTCCCTGCACCCCCCTCCACCAGCTCCTTCACCTTCCCTGGGCTGCCCAGCTCCCTTCCCTCCTCCCCTTGACCCCCTCCCTCTGCCTCGCACTGGACCCTCCCCTCCTAGACGTAGCCTCTCTATCTCGCTACCCTTCCACCTCTGGCCTCGGTTATGAGGAGGGGGCTGGGCTAGCCTGGGCCCTGGGGCTGAGTGGGGCCTGCTGGGCTTTCCTGCCCCACCCCCTTCCTGAAGGTCACCTTCACCACCCACCGGGCTGGACCCTTCCTCCAGCAGCGGCCCAGGGGAGGCAGAGGGTCACCCCTCTATCTCCCATTCTTGTGCTGTCCCATCAGGGGATCCCTGCCCCCCCCAACTCTGCACGTGGTCCCCCCCCCCCCCCCTGTTAAAGGGACATGGTCTAGATAGATGTTCCCCCTCCTCCCCTTTCTGCTCCCAGGGCCTTCCAGTGGGGACAGGGGATACCTGGCTGCAGTGGGGTGGGGGTGGGCGGCTGTCTTGTGGTTTCCTTGAGCATTTTGGCAGCTGTCATCCATCCAGGCCAGGGGATTGTGGGGACTAGTGTGTGGTAGTGGGGCTGTCCCTTCCCTGCCCCCTCTCCTTCTGCCCAGAACCACTTGGGCCTTTGCTGTTTGCCCTCCACCCGCAAGGGTCACTCTCCTCGTGTGGTGGGGGCCACAAGGGGGATCCGTGGAGGCCTGGTCCGTGGTCCCTTGCCCTGCTGCCAGGCCTATACAGTCTGTAGGCCTGTGCTTGCTGATAGGCCCCAAGTGTTAGCTTGTGGAAATGCCAGAGGCTCCTGGGGCCCTCTCCAGGCAGAAAGCCATCCCCCTGCCCCAAACTGCCGGGTGTCCTCTGTCCTTCCCCCTCTGCCCCACTTCTCTGACAGTGAGGGTCCTGGTTCCCTCAGTGCTTTAGGGGTTCATTTGTTGTGGCCCACGCTCCTCTTGCTTCCACACTTCCCTCTTTGGTGGGAGTGATGGATGTGTGTTGGGGAAGGGGAGGAGACCGGCCCTGTGCTTCTGAGTTTTTTAGTGTTTAGCACAGTGCCTGACACACAGTGAGTGCTGAATGGGGCCTGGTGATCCCAGCTCTGTTCCCCTGCATGGGGGAGCTGATCTGACTCCGAAGCCAAGACCAAGATCCTCTGCCAAGGGTCTGCCCATCCCTTGGTTTTCAGTGGATGGTTGGAGGCTGGCCAGGACCCTGTCCTCCAGACCCACTTAGGTCTAGTCTTTGCAGTGACCCCTCTTCTCCCAAGCACTTTCTGTGGTTGATATGAGGCTCAGGTGTGACCTTCATGTCGCTATGGGCCTGGGCAGCTTTTTAAGGATAGAGTGAATTTCTGGACATGGTTTTTCTGGGTGGGGGAGCCCTAAGGGCTTCTTGGTTCAGTACATGTGCTTTCCTTGTTGAGTGTCCCTGTTCCGTAGTGTGTGGAGCCAGGCTGGGAGGAACCTCTTGGATTTATGCTTTTTTTCCCTTTCCTATGGTTTCATCTTGGCCTGGCCCTGGGGAACATGGAGGGATGGGGGTGGCAGGGAAGGCATTTGCATCCTAACTTGATCATTAACCCACTGTATTGCGAAAAATGGGTCAGCTCCAGAGCTGCTGTTTTTAAACCAAAGTTCACTGGTGTGGATTCCCCCCCCCCCCCCCCCCCCGCCACTTTTCTCCACTCCCTTCTTTCCTCCCCTCCTTCCTCTCCTCCCATCACGGAACCCATCCCAGTGGGGCAGGTGTCAGCCAAGAAGGGAGTGGCAGGGGTGGGGCCAGCTTTCTCTGACTTTCACCTGAGTCCCTTCTGCCCATCTTTGGCCCACCTAGTCTTGTGCTACCAGAGTCTTTGAGGACCTGGGCCTCACAACTCCTTCCTAGTTCTGGGATGCCATGGAGTGAACATCCTAAGTCCCTGAGCCTGGGTTGCCCAGTTAGGGTTCAGCCAGTCTATGTGGGCTCCTCATTCTACCCTGGTGTTTGTTAGAGTAGGGAGTGTGCCTTCTGGCTCTCTCCCAGTCCTCTTTTTCCTAGAGGAGTGAGTGAGCTCTACCTGGGGCAGCCTCTGCTCTGGTGTGTTGCTGCCCACAAGAGTTGGGACTTTACAGGCACCTCCTCCTTTGCTGCCCTGAGTGAATCCTTGGGTTCTGGCCAAGGCCGGAGGACAAGGCTGTAGCGGAAGGCTGTGGCATTGCCTATGGTGAGCAGCTATAGCAGTCTCTCCCCAGGACAAGCCGGGGTGGAGAGGTGGAATTCCCCAGTCAGGGTCTCCAGGCTTCTCTGGGCCTGGGCCCAGGGTTGAGAGGTGGGGACAACTAGCCCAGATTCCTGTTTGGGAGAGGATAGGGCTGGTGTCAGCCACTCACCAGCAGAGGAGGCGTTAGGATGTTTGCACCAAGGTATGGGCCTAGAGTAGTCAGGGAAGGTGGCAGCAGACAGGACCCTGGAAGATTTTGGCACTGGAGATTTTGGGGGATGACCTTTGAGGTCCCATCCAACTCAAAATCTCTGCTCCTGTGATGACTCTTTTACAGCGGAGAAAATTGAGAAGTTCAGCCCAAGGACACACAGTTAAGTTAGTGGAGATCCAGGCCTAGAGTCAGGGGGAGGAGGGACCACCTAGGGTGTCTGAGTTTCTTTTACTCTTCTTCCCCTCCATCCAGTTTGCTTTGACAGGGAAGCATAGTGTATTCACATTATAAATGGAAAATATGAGCTGCAATTTGGGGTTGTTCCGTAGGGGTGGTGCAGGGGGTGGTCATAGAATCTCTGTGGCATTTGACCTGAGGCCCTCTGAAAGCCATCCCTTCTAGGGGAGCCAGCCATGGAATGTTAGAGCTGAGGGGAGCTCAGTGCCCTCATTCAGAGAGGAGGAAACTGAGGTTTAACAAAGTGGTGCTTAGGGGCCCTCTCCTCTGTCTGGCGAAAAGATTAACTTGTTGGGGTGAAGAGAGCAGGCATGTTTTTCAGGTTCTTTCTAATATGTTCTGTGTTCTTTTCTAAGTGGCTGATCACCTTAGGGAAAGCCAGCATTTTGTCAGGCTGGGAGGTTTTGGGGATTAAACTCTAGGGGAAGACAAGGGGGCAGCCTCCTACCCGAACTCCAGAGATTCCAGGTGACCTTCTGGCTTCTGGTCTGGAGCAGTAGGCTACTGCCCCGATCAGCTCAGTGCTTCTGCCAGCAGCTCCCCTCACTACTGTACCCAGGATCTTCTCATTTCCCACCCCCTTACTCTCTGGAGTAGAATGGGAGGATGAAGCCTGCTCGCTGTCTAGTCTCCCCTTTGTAGATTCCCTGAGGCAGGGGCGTAGCTCCTCACTAGGCAGGGTTACCTCCTACTGTGTTTAAGGGAAAAGTGTTGAGGCCTGGCTGGGCCTTGGGAGGGCCCTGGGCCCTGATCCAGACTCCAGGGAGAGAAGCTAGGCCAGGTGTGTGATAGGGGTGGGAGGGGGGAAGGAAGGAGTAGCAAAGAGCACGCCCAGCCACCTCGCTCATTTCTTTGCTCTGTGTGTGCGCATGTGTGTTTCTTGGTCAACTCCATTCTAGGCCTAATTTCTGTGTCAGGTTTGGGCCCCATCTGGTGAGGGACCTTGTGGGTCTGGACCCACCCTAGGAAGCTGTTCTTGATCCTGATTGCACTGATGGAGAACAATCAGGCAATGTGCAAAGAAGAATAAGATACTATGAAAACTTCATTTCACTCCCCTCCGTTGCTTGTTGGACATGAGATTTGGAGTAGAGTGAATAGGACCGCTGAGGGGTGGGCAAAAGTGATTTCGGATAGCTGGGATTCCCCCTTTTCTTCTGACCAGCCTTTGTTACCCCCCCCCTTCCCAAAGAGGCCCCAAGAGAAATACTTGAATACTTCCTATGTCAGGATGATGGGTGGGCTGGGTGGAGCACACAGGCCAACCCCCTTCAAGGGTAAAGGCAAGAAGCTGCATTTCGTTTCTTTGGTTGGGGCTAGGGGTTGGGGGAATGGTGCTGCTGACAAGCTGTGTGACCTTGGGAAAGTGAACTTCTCTGGGCCCACTTTGTAAGGTGAAGGGTGAAGGCTAAATGACCTCAAACTCCCAGTGATTTCCTGAGTATCCTGTCTTCTCTCTGTCCAATCCCAAGGAGAAGGAAGTGGGAGAGGGGGTGTGTCCCACAACCCCCCAAGTGAGAAAAGGAGCCTTCAAGTTCCTTGTAAGAATGCAGGCCTGTTTGGCCTTCAGAACTGGGCTCACCTTACAGAGGGGAAGGGGACTGACCTTTGTGTAATGGAATTAAGTTCGACTCTCAC